AGATAGATAGATAGATAGATAGATAGATAAATAGATAGATAGATAGATAGATAGATAGATAGATAGATAGATAGATAGATAGATAGATAGATAGATAGATAGATAGATAGATAGATAGATAGATAGATGGATGGATGGATGGATGGATGGATGGATGGATGGATGGATGGATGTTAAACACTGAACCAAAATGGAAGAAACATTTTCTTTAAAAAATCCTGTTTTTTTTGTTAATTCTAATACGTCTTGTTTTTGGTCTGTATGAATTCTCAAACTGCCCTCTGTGTCCTTAAAAGAAGCTAAAACCGAACACGATGAGAAACATAACTGAGTCTAAGAAACAGAAGAAGTAAAAAAAGAAAGAGTTGAATTAACACTTCGGGGGAGTAGTGCAAAACCAAAATGATTAATTGAAATCTTTGCGTGGGAGTTTTCACACATGACAATACATTCCCCAAAACACAAGTGTTGTGTTAAACCTTTGATTAATGCTTTGTTTAAATGTTTTAGTCTTTTTGTTTCTGCGTGGAATGAATTCTGACAGCTGAACTGCTAATCTCTTTATAACTGTGATGAGAGAATTGCGGGTGTAAAAAGCCACATTGATCAGACCCAGGATCATGTTCTAGATGATATAACTCATCACGTGAACATGGACATTACTCTATGTAGTTTCTTTGTGTGGGATCATCTGTGTCTGAGATTTGTACCTCAGCTTCAGCAAATACAGAAAACATTTTAAAATAATTCTGTAATAATTTCAACAAAATATCATGAAATAATAAATAACGTAACTTCAAACCCACTGTAAAGCATACGACACATTAGTATTATTATTATTATTTAACCTTTATTTGTACAGGTAGTCTCACTGAGTCATGAGGACTCATTCTTAAGAAAGATCTGTTTTAGACGGACAACAATATACAAGAATAAAAAGCAATTAAAATAAGATATTGTTATAAAAACACTTGCTGTTAGCTGCATGGTCTTATTTGCAGTATGGTACTGCCAACAGTGTGGCTCTGTCAGCAGCGTGGTCCCGTCTGCAACATGGTTCTGTCAGCAGCATGATGATAGTATAATGACTGTGGCAACGGACAATGACTGTCCTCAAGATCTGGGTCCGGCAGACACAGAACATTCAAAGTTCCCTGCAAAACCAAACTGTTCCGTGGAGTTCGGTCCATGCAGGCAGATGGAGGATCATGGAGACGGACCCATAACAGACCGGAGCCTGAGCCCGAGGTGGGAATGAGGCCGGAGAGTGAGGTTCTGGTGGAATGAACTGGGCTGCAGATGGACTGCGTAGGTCTCAAGAGAATTTCCAGTGGATCAGAGCGGCTCGGAGAGCGGTGGGTCTTATCGAACCATCCTGCCGCACCCGTGCATCGTTCCACCCTCCGCAGCCCATCTCCCTTCCTCTGCTCCTCCTTGGTAGCTAATGATATACGCCTGGTGACAAACTATTATTCAGCAATCTATAGCAATGGCTGGGACAAGCAAAGACCTAGTATAACCTTGATTTGTACAAGTTCAAGTTCAAGCAGGTTTATTGTCATTTCACCACATGTGGTACATGAGGTGGAATGAAATTATGTGCACAGGGTCCCAGTTACATCCAACAATAGCAAGTGTAAAAAGAAACAGCATATAAGGATCCAAGATATACACCAAGATATACGTTAAACGAACGCTAAAAGATCTAAAATATACGCCAAACACAATCAATGACAAACAATACGGCGTAACAACAGCAGCCGAACATGAGTCTGTGGTGAGCAGATGGGTACAAACGAATACAGCAGCATGAAATAATCAGCAGCATGAGATCAGCAGCATGGATAATCAGCAGCACATATCACCAGGCAAAATTTGTGACCTTGAACTTGAAGCTGGGGCGATGAAAAGTCTTCACAACCCTCCGTCTGACGATGCAGAAGTTTATCGAATTTCATCAAATTATCTTGAACTGGTCAACAATTATATAATAATTATTATTATTATAACATGGGAAAACATTTACGGAACTCTAGGTTTTATCTTTAAATGTGTTGTTGAATTTAAACAACTAACAATGTCAAATTATTTTTACGTTTTGCGCATGGCATTATTAAACAATAATTACAGCTTTTGGGTTTAAATTGATTTTCAGTATACTTTTGCATCATTCACATATGCATGTTTTTCATGCCAGGAGGGGAGGAGCTTATGTCTATCTCCAGTGATTGTTGGGGGAGGCGGGGTCAATTTAAAGTTACCAACTAACCGAGTGTGTGCGTTTTTATTTCGTGAGAAGAAACTGGAGTAGCCAGAAAAAAGACGCACGCAAAATAATAAAATAGTACAGATGCCATAAAAGATGCATCGAAGAAGAGTAAAATGTTTAGAAAGAAAGAGTGGCAGCGTTACCATGGTAACATATATAAGGTGGCAGCATAGAAAACGTCATGCAGGACGACCAGCAGCAGGAAGACAAAGAACTCGAGCTTGTTGGAAGGAGGTACAGCTCACTCAGGGACAGCAACAAAAAATAAATGAAATGTCTCAAAACATTTTGCTTTTAAATAAATAGTTCAAACTGCGCTTTGTTGCCTGTTGTACTGAAGGGCCAAACTGTAGACTTAACGAGTTTTATGGGTCAACAAGGACACAGCCGATCCAAAGGTAGGCAGAAATACTGTACGTGTGTGTGTGTGTGTGTGTGTGTGTGTGTGTGTGT